TGGTTGTTTGAATCTTACCATTGATGTTTAGGATTGCAATCGATCAGTCTCTTATTGAAATATATGTATCTGTAAGGATTGCCTCGATATTACCTTAAATCACAAGCATCATAAGCAGAGATGGATAGTAACTAGCAGTGGAATCCAGGACGCGCGTTTCGTCCTATATAGGACTCGTTAGCTGGTTAGAGTCCCGGAGTGAACATCACCTCTGGGATGCAGGTGCATCTGGGGAAACGCGCGTCCTAGATTCCAATGCTGGCCACCATCCATCTCTGCTTATAATGCTCGTGACTTCAGGCAATATCGAGGCAGTCCTCACAGATGCATATATACCAATAAGAGACTGATCAACTGCAATCCTAAACATCAATGGGAAGATTCAAATAAGCAATACAAAGTGAATTTAAACTTCGATCCATTGCACAAAATAGTGCTTATCTGAACTAAGTAACTAAGTGGATAACATGGAGGCTTTTGAAGCGGACGGTACGGAGTTCGAGTCCCAGAGTGAATATCCACTCTGAGATGTAGGTACATCCAGCTGACGAGCCCTAAATTAGATGAAAGGCGCGTCATGGATTCCACTGCTAGTCACCTTTCTCCTCTGGTTATTTCACTTTATTCATCTGTTCAATAGTTCAAAAGTTATTACTGATCGAAAACAGTACTCTGAGATCACGTGGAAAGTATACTAATCTTTGAATTATTCAATTCAATCCTAGCGGGTGACATGTTGAATTTCAATTAATTTTAAAAATGAAGAATACTGCTGGTGAAACATTTTATAGAGCTTGATTTCTAATCATTCACCTTACTCAATTTACAATTCAATTTTCAGTTCATTAGTATGAAAAAACGCAATTCCGAAATTCTTGAGCGTTCTATGCATCCTCAATATGACGACAAATTCGAATTACTACTGAGTAGTTCACAATTAAAAAGCGAAGCCAGAATATTCAGGTCTTCAGTAAACATGATAATGTTCACGTCATTGATATGATTCACCAATTAAATTTACTTTGTAAGAAAAACTACGCCTCAAAAATATATACCAAAACCCTGAGAAATCCGTCAGTCCACATGATTCTCCGATCTAACTATACTGTGAAAAAGTATTCCATGTAACAATATGCTTTAAGATGAAAACAAATCAACCAAAAGTCTAAAATTTACAAATCTAAAAGATGCTAATTTTCCAAAAAATTGCTTATTGCAAATAAAAACCTACACGATAATCTGCTTCAAAAATTGCCACTTGACCAGCTTGAATAATTTCTAATACTGCATCTAAACATAATCCTGTCATACAATTTTTTGACGTCTCACAAGGATCTATAAGGCTAGACAAGATTTTTCAGAAAGAAGAAAGTGATAGACATTGGACTGTAAGTGATTTTTGACAATTAAATCACCCAGAGGAATTATTAGTAAAATTAATATATCACGATATCTATTTTGGCTGAAAATTTGATTAGATAGTTGAGGAATGTGGGTAAATAATTAATTTACGTTGGCACATGGATTTCTTAAGGAAATACTTTGAAATTTCCTAGCATTTATGTATTGGTTAAGTACTTTAAACGGTTTTCATGTGTGTCATGTGTCACTCTATTCCGGACCTGTCCCTCAATCCCATCATTGATATCTACATCAATATACGAACCCAGTACCTGTCATTTCAAAGCCAAATCAATTCAACAGTAGGAATATAAGCCCTTGTAATCAATAACAAATAACAAACCCTTTGTACAGATAGATGACTATCAGGGCTTTGCAATTCAAACTAGTGGGTACCATTTTAAAGGCTCAGTAGGAATGCCAACACCTGGATAAAAACAGATGCGTCTAGATCACGACTTCCAAATTAGATGGAACATGTATCCTTAATTTCATTTAAGGCATCTACTCAAAAATTTATAACGAAAGGGAGAAAATTTTGCTTTGAATATTTATTATCATCTATCTTTGAAGTCTCTTAGACGAATCTATGACAACAACAGTTATATATAACATATTCTATGAAAGATGTAATCTTGTTACTTTGAGGAAATTAAACTATCAATCCAAGTTTTCGTAATATTCACAGCATGAAATGAAAATGACAATTAAATGGGACACAATGGTGAGACTTTAAAAGTTTTGTTCAATCATTACAATAATTAAAAAGACATGCATATTATTGTGTATTATTTGATCGAGACTAAGACTATATATCCTCTCATTGTAGGCACAACAGTAGATAATTTACAAATAATTCGTCATCACAAATGAATGTCACCTATAAAGCTATTAAAAACCTAGTTAAAAGTAGGACAGCTACTGATCAGTTACATTGGTTGGATATCACACCTCATATAATTGAAGTTGAGAATGTACATCATTGGATAGAGATTCAGAGACTAATAATTACAGCATTCTCGTCATAAAACACAAAAGATTTTGTGTGGAATCCCGGGTTTATGTGTTGCTGATAAGTGTTGAATTGTCACAAAGATCTATTTAGCGGTCTCTAGTTTTCCGGAATTCTCAACTAATATTAACTAGTGACAAAAACTTTTTCTCAATTTAATGAAATCTACAGAGTTCGCCTTATCAAAAAAGTTTTTTTTCCTTAATGCAAAGTTTTAAAGAAAGCAAACTAACCAATCAGCATCCATGAATGTATTGAATTCGTCTTTAGTTACAAATAAATAATCGACACCATGAACTTCTTCAGATTTTGGTTCTTGTGTGGTTACTTGTGTATTTTTATGTGAAAAACAAACAGTTGATTTAATTCATTGTAGTGGATAATATACATAAAACATTACTCCACATTAATATATAGAAAATAAATTCAATAAACAAGTACGGTTTATTTTTATTTTATTTTTTAGTAGAAGCCAATATGCTATGTGGTTGGTGGCAATCGGAAGGAAGCGCTGATGGACATGGCTTCCATGTTAGCTATCATTCCGATTACATAAACATGACATTCGTTACTACTCAGTGATCAATCGATAAAAATATCTCGATTCTACAGGAGAACAACCGTAACCTGAATAACTCAGTGTTAACTTTCCAAATTTAACATTAGGCGAAACGGGTTTGAGCAGTACAGAGAACATCATTTCCACCAGTGTTCCAACTTTACTTTGATGACGAGTCCCAATAAATGTCAAGGGCTTACTGTTGATTGGCCCTAACCTCTTAAAATCCAGGCATATTTTACGTAATGTCAAATCACTTAAACTGACTGCCACATTGTAATTTATTCAGTTAAAGTTAATTAATACCAACAATCAGATAAACGTGACGCTGAATACTGTTCGACAATAAAAAATTCTTAGCAAAATTTAATTGAGTAACAAAAAGAAACTTTGGGAGAAAAGCACATCGGATAATAACCTTAACACTAAGAAAGTAGGGTAAATCTAATTCTAATGCTTCTATATTCAGTACATCTATTATTCACTTGTGTGGTCTACTTAAAACACCTGCTGTTTCTCAAGTTCTTTAAGAATTTCCATCTGAATACACCTAGATTTCTGTCAATACTAATATTCTTACTGTAAATAAGATTTTATGATTACTATGCTATGGTAATAAATGCATAAACACAGATGATTACCTCAATAATCGCTTCTTGGAAAAATCTTTCATTATTATCTTTAAAATCTTTTTTACGTAATTTACAAACTGAAGTGATCAATTTTTCTTATTAAACTATAAAGATATTAAAAGCAATTACATTTTGGTTGTTCACAAAATCAAGTAGGAATGTAAATAAATCCGTTTTATGAATTCATTTATCAATCTAAAATATCTCAACACTTAAGTTGGTACTACTCCTGTTTACCGTAGATGAAATTAGTATGAACTTTAAAATAGTTAAATTTTTGGTAAAATGAGCAAATTTACAAATAAGCACTATATTACTATATTACTCACTTCTGATTGGTTCTCGAAAATGTTCAGGATCTGTACTAATTAATTGACGAATTAATTCGGACTTTCCTACACCACTTGGTCCTATAGTCGAATAGAAGATATAAGATTTGCACAATTTAAAAATACCGCTCGACTTCTTTAGAAATCTAAAAGATGTACGAATTAAGCTACATAAAACTCTGACGAAACTTGAGAAGACATGTCAAGAGTTTCATCAGATTTGAGATTTACTGTTGGGAAGGTCCAGAAAACTCCTCGAAAAAAGCCAAAAAAGGCTCCGAAACATCGAGAAGCATCGTGTCCAATCAGCATTCACTAGACATATTGCCAGAAACATTTAGAAAGTGAAGTCACATGTCCAGTTTCTGAATGGATGGTACCTATACTGCTACTATGTTTAGTAGCGGTTCAGAATCTTCGGGAAACCCAACACCATCTAAAACACTATAAGAAACCCAGGTTTTCTGTACATAAACGAACCTTTGGAGTGGAATTTTTCTTCCATATTTCGCGCCTTTTCTTTAGTGCTCAAGTCGCTGTGTAGATCTAGCCTGGGGGTTACTAAAAGAGCTTAGGAACCGAATCTAGCATTCAATTAGAAGACGTATCATTTACGTAGGTAGCTAATGCACTAAATAAAATACCTCTTGTTAAATTTATCACTTGTTTCAGTAAATGCCGCAGAGACTGCTAAGATAACCGAAAATCTGGACGAACATCTATCTAATATACTGATGAAAATATTGAATGTCACCAGTACCGTGTGCTTTCCGACTGCTGATTCACCATCCAGTTGATTGCCGACGTACTAAATTTAGAAAATGACCATACACACGTTTCTAACAAAATACTCGGGCTCGAAGAAACTTCTTAAAACGATCAGACAGCCAAGCAACCTGATTTCTGAGAACTTCCATTGGTGTTTTAAATGACGGAAAGAGAAATGAGCCAAGTTCATTACAATAAATGGAAGGTGGTTTGAGCGTAACGAAATTGATGTACCTTTAAGGTTCTATGATCTCGGTTAGCCTATTCACTGGTCAGATAGAACTCCCATGTCACTGGAATACAAAGTCTGATAAACAAAACTACTATTACTATCTTCCTTGAAAAATGAAATAATTGTTCAACTTTCTGTACACTGATCAGATCATTGATCACTAATTATTGTTATGTGATTTTTAAAGTATTCACTCTATTCTATAGGACTTCACAGAGTACAATTTTTACATATAGCTACATTTAATAAGTTGTCAACGACGTCCACCAGAACAAACAGGTTAAAAATCACTCAACATCTATACTCAGTTATTTATAGATAAATGTTGAAAGTATCGACTTTTTTAAACATTTCATATAGTTTTATAAAGCAAGATGAATTATATGTTATACGTACTATGTACTGTCATGTATCATTCTGTCATCAATGAATGACTGTTGTTATGTCAAAAGGAAACAAAACAGGGGTTAAATTCATAATTGTGTTCAGTACTATGACACTGGGTAACGTGGATTCGAGTGTCTTTGGGGTAGGGGGCGACAATTCCCTCGATATTATAGATACACCTGTCTTCGACCACCTAGTATCAATTACCTCATTCGTTTAATGCATAATGATTACTTCCTTATATAAAATGTAAAAGAAACACTAAATCGATAAAAATAAGAGGTACTAATCATGAAACTTACCTACTAAAACAATTGGCCGATAACAACCTTCTTCAGGAAAATAACGTTCTACTTCTTCATATGAAAGAGAATCTTACACATTCAAGCGGAAAGAAATTTTTAAAAACAAATTCTCAAATAAGTCACTCAAGAAAATACTATTACTGAACCAAGCAACTTTGATCAAATTAAAGTGATAATGAAATTAATAGAATATTTGTGCGTGTCTGTCAAATAAACATCGAAGTAAACTGGTCAAAATGATGTCGTGATAAAGTCCTGAATTCCAGTGTTGACATTACTCAGATTCTGACAAAAATACGCGCTATATATATATATATATATATATATATATATATATATATATATACTCAATGACAATTGTTTAATTGTTTCTCAGTTGTTTCAATTGATGTAATTCATCTTTAGTTAAATTAGAAATATGTGGTTTTTGATATAATAAGGCGACTACAATTTTATTCCTCACGTTATTCGCTGTTTCATTAGTAAGGCAATTCAATATCGGTTCAATTCTAGGCACAAAATCGAAAGGCTATGATTGTGGTCTATTTATAATGAAATTAAGACCCTTTTTAAGCAAAGACATTTCGTGGGTACATAGATTTCTATATGATAAATTAATGATCCATTTGTTAATAGTCAGTGTGCTAAGTTTGTCTCCAGTTTGTTGAACTTTTTGGTTTGATGGGTGTTTCAACATTCTTTCAAACTTTCTAACCTGTCGCTGTTTTGGTGATTGATGGTAAAACTGTTCTGTGTTTAATGAATTTATTTATATTTCGTCTTATTTTCTTTGGTATGACAAGAGATTAAACGTCATCAACGTTACTAATCCTTGGAGTTAGTGACCCTCAACTTATAGTGGCTTTGTGTATACGTTCTCTCAGAGACGTTCTAGTAGCTGTGATGGCCGCTTTGATAAAACAAACAGATTTTTCATGAGAATTAACCAATTGAGATTTAGGATAAACATTTTGTTTTAAGCATTGTACACCAAAAATTCTGTAATCGTACCAGTTGTACATTTTATTTGGTAATTTAATTCAATTACAAAATAATTTATACAAATATCTCTCGATATTTGAACAAATAGCTTGATAGGATTTGGGTGTTGAGTATAGAGAAGACATTATTTAAATTAAGGTGATTCCAAACAAACATAAGTGTATTTTCGTCTCAGTGATATCATAAAATCAACATTAGTGAAAGATAGGCCTCCAAAGGAGGAACAACAGAATGTTGTCTACGAGACCATTTATTATGATTGTAATGCAGCTAATGTGGGAGAAACATCTAGACAGTTGACTGTGAGGTTAAAGGAATATAAACTATGTTTGAAACATTTCCCCAAATCCTCGGTTGATTTGAGGAAACATGAGAATAGATTTGAGATAGTTACACGCGTTAGAAACAGGATACAAGATCAACTTCGAAAGGATTAAAATATTTCGGGCAGGGTTTGGCACGCATAAGGAAAGATTTACAGAAGAAGCGTTGCACGTATGGGCTAATAAGAACACTTTGAACAGAAAACATGGTATTCAACTGGTCACCCCTTGGCAAATGATCGTTGACAAGTAATTGGACCATATCTCTATCCAACCTGTTCAGTTCATATGCACTATTTGTTCTAAGAGGAATTAGTTTGAATATTTTATCATCACAATTATATATTCGATGGTTCTAGTTTTACATACATATCAACGTTTGAAAAACATTTTCAATTTGTATTTTATTTTTACTCCTAATAAAAAACTAACTAACATTTATTATCAGCCATTAAGATGGTTGTGTGATATCGTGCATTGATTAATGTTAGACATTAACGCCGTTGGACGCCGGTCTAGTGGTCTAGAAGTTAAGTGTCTGTGGGCGAGGCCCTAGGTCATGAGTTCGAGCCCCGCGTGCGAGATCGTGGATGCGCACCACTGATGAGCCCTATACTGGGGTGAAAAGGCCGTCCGGTGCTTCGGGGTTTTCAATTATGGTTTAACACTGATTGGTTTATGGTCTCAATAAAAACTCAACAATTACCACAACCAAATACTGATATTAATAACTTAAGCTTACAAATATACACACAATCACTCATTTGTTTCATATTTTTTATTCTTCACATAATTCACATATAGCTGACTCAAGTTATCCCACTTACTAAAGTCAACATCTGAATATGATTGGATAAGCACAGTATAGATTTGATTCGACTGTTAAACATTATATATTCTTTGATGATTTTTACTTGAATTATTACCCTGAAGACGTCCAGACAAGATTGCTGAACGAACCGTTGGAATTATTTAAATTTCCATCTCTGAAATTATTTCAAATATAATTTTGCATAAATAATATCTTCTCTATACTCGGTGCCCAAATTTTATCAAAATATTCGTTCAAATATTAATGAATATTCGTATAAATTTGTGTATTTTTACTTATTTATGACAACACAATCAAACTTTATTTGTATTGAATACTTAAGTGAATAAAATTTTATGAGTAACAACTAACTTAAATCATCATGTAAATTTAATTTTTAATTTACTTTTAATACTAATTTGAATCAACTTACCATGAATTTGTGTATCTTGTCCGCCGTTTGTATGCAATGAATTAAAGTGATACTGCATTTTCCTATTGAAAGGAAAGAAAACATCAATAATTTACATTTTATAGTATGTTTTGTTAATTAATTACTCATCAATTAGTTAGAAGTTAAAAGTCATCATCAAAATTCAGATGACATCTAAATTGTATCACAACTAAGTTGGCTGAACTCAACACTTGGGTCACCAATTTCCCAACTGTGTACATATTCCACTTCCTTGTTTTGGGGTTCTTTCGACTGATTATTTAGAAATGTTAACTTTGTATGCACATGTATGCTGTTATCAAAAAAAGTTACCAATTGTTATGATATTGAATACTGCAGTTGTAATAGTTTTCTTTATCTGTTCTTTAAAATAACGTGAGACGAATACACAGAAATCTATGAATTTTAAATAATGTGGATGAAAAAAGTAGTTGTAGTAGATAAATCAGTAAGAAATTTCAAAACTGAGGATGAGTAACAGGTACTGGCTGTTGAAAAACTTATATTCTTGAAGACTTAAATTTTGAATGCATTTTAAAAAATTCTGCATTGCTTAATTTTTAATATTTAACTTATTTTCCATATCTACTATCTAAATCATTCTCAACTGATTACTCGAAAATAAATGCTTAGAAAGCATATTCTGACCTAATTTTAAGTTGAGCGGTTTTTCTAATGGGAGCTTCTTTAATGAAAATAGTGAGAAGCCATAACTTTAAATATATACATGAAAAGGTTTCAAAATTCATTCAAAATGATTTCAAGATCAAAGACATGTAAACTGAATCTTCTGCCTAACTGAAACACAATTTATGCCGGACGAATTCATACATAAAGGTCATTTTCATCACGAACTAATATCAGTTATACAAACCACTGAAAATCTTAAAGAAATTGATTGATATTTCTTCCAATTCAAGGACTTATCAGCAGTAATTACTTGTAACACTTTGAGATAGATACTTCCCCCTACATTTTAATTGAAAGCAGATTTTTGGAGACAACAAAGTTAGTAGTTTCCCACCACTGACTTTAATTAGTGACTGAAATGATATGCATGTTGGCTATAAAAATGAAGGCCGCATGTTTTTTCTAGCAGATCGTTTTGTTTGTGCGTTATCAAGCCATCTCTAGCCAGATCAAAAAACCCTCCGCATCTCCTTCTTTTGAGTTTTGCTCCAACGAAAATCCATTTGTGATGGTAATTAACTTTAAATTCACCACAAAATATGCATAAATCTAAGATATCTTAAAAATACCATACTACATATAAGTTGATTCATTTTGTTCTTTAAAGTGGTTTTAATATAGTTGAAAACTAATTATCGGTGAGTATAGGCATACAAACAGGTGCATATAATACTTGTTATTTTTTTCAAAATCAGCTACATAGAAATTACGTATGAATAAATGTTCACTCCAAATATTTATCCCTGTAATGTTACTGCTATAATGGATTCTGAAAAATATATTCACGTAAAATTAAAGGAGCATAAAAAATAATAGAATAAGGGACAAAATCAGTTTGCGTCCATCTATCCACGATTCTTTTCAATTATATGAGTAGTGACATATCGATTTCCATCGATTCGAACCACACAAAAATTAATCAATATGACACCCACTCATATCCCCACCGATAATCCTGATAGTATTGAACGCTTCCCCATTCAAATTAGGTTACATCCTTTCACTGATGTTAAGTGGCTGGAAGGACTCAACAGAAAACCTTGGGTGCAGGTTTGGTGATAGTTAAGAGTTGTCAGCAAAGGCGATGTAGCCACAGTTTTAAGAGAACTAATGCTTCTTATGGGATACGAATCCATGTTGCTTAGGTCCACAGTCTCAGACGCCACCTCTGAGATATTCGAGGCTGGACTGTCCTGTAGGACTGAGATATCCACAGTGATTGATCAATTAGCAATATTCTACATAATTTTCACTCAGTCTTTATTTCTAGTGTAATTTGACAGACTAAGTGATCATATTCCAAATTCTATGATATTTTAATCAGTAGTTTGACAATTATAGTGAACTTCGGGAAGATATTATATGCAATTTTGGAATTTAATTTGATTATTTCTTATACTTCATTAAGTTGATTTCGGCGAGCGTATAATTTATGGACGAACCAATAAGTTGTAAGATAACAGGTCTCGGATTTTGACGCGAAATTCACTCATCCATTAGACTAAGTCGAGTTTTGGCAATATAGCTTATGTCAGTTCGTGATGAAAACCCTAAATGTAATTCCTAACCTTAACCATCAACTGTAAATAATAATTCTAATTCCTCACACTGGTTTATAACCCCCATTCGGTCCTCGTTATTATGTGAAGACTCTCAAGGTCAGTTTAGCGTCACTCAAATTTAGCATCCAAAAATTATGGTCTCACCTTAATTTCTATAAAATGGAACTTGGTGTTTAGTGTTAATATAGACAAGTAGAAACAAAAAACGGTTACAAATTAGTTAGTTTGACAAGTAACGAAAAGTAAAATACAGCATTTATTGTGAACCAGACAATTTGAAAATCTGTTCTCAATGTGTTGTTCTTTTCTCGACTTACCATTCTCGCATCATTTTACTTGGTATTAGACCAGCTCTACCTAAACTTGGTTGCGTTAAATTATTACCCAGTACAAATGGAACAATCCCACTAAGTGGAAATTCAACCTATTCGAAAGAGATAATAATGAATGAGTTATACTTGAGTTAGGGTTTTCAGCTAATCAAATTTTGGATAACCACCTTATATAGTTATTACCCCAGCTTAACTATTTTTAAATAGATTTTTATCAAATTATTGTCAAATTTGTTGTTAGCTATCATATCTATATCACTCTACATCAACTTCATTGACTACCAGAAAGCATTTGATGGTGTGGACAGGACAACACTATGGAGACTTATTCAACACTACGGTGTGTCTGAGAGGATAGTCAACATCATTCGGAATCCCTATGATGGTTTAAACTGCAAAATCGTGCATGGAGGACAGCTCACAGGCTCGTTCGAAGTAAAGAACGGTGTCAGGAAAGGTTGCTTACTCTCTGTTAGGTCCCGATAAACATAATGAATGGTAACCTTGGGATCCTTTTATGAACCAATACTAAACGTGTATTTTTATCGTATAATTGTTAAATAACTAAACTATTCATATTCATATTTCTCTTATTAAAACTTTATTTTGACCTATGAACCATTATTATACGTTTTACCATTCTTGAATTACGGCCTGTCTATTAGTCACTGTCTCCCACATTCACAGCCACATTTGGTCAAATTTTGTACAAATGTTATTTTCTATTTTATGCTACGTTGTGGTCTGTTTGATTGGTATATAAACTCAGTATGTTTGAAATATAAGGATTCATATTGCAGAGGCTGAGACTGGTGTTCTGGACTTAACTGGCTGGGCTAGGCGGAAAGCAGGACCAATCAGGACTCTAGGCTGCTCGCACGTGTTTTACGCGTCCTTGGTCCGATCGATAATTCGCTGCTTCTGATTGGCGGCTTTAAGCTATAACACTCTCACCCTTTCTCTTTCTCATAGTGATCGACTGGATTATGAAGACGTCAACATCTAAGAGGGAGAATGGGATACAGTAGACAGCTAGGATGCAGCTGGACGACTCAGACTTCGTAGATGATATGGCTCTTCTATCCCAAACGCAACAACAAATGCAGAGGACGACCAGTGTAGCAGCAGCCTCAGAAGCAGTAGATCTTAACATATGCAAAGGGAAAAGCAAGATTCTCCGATACAACAAAGCATGGCACCAATCAAATCACACTTGACTGAGCTTTGAAGGGTGTAAAAATCTTTACATATCTGGGCAGCATCATTGATGAACACGGTGGATCTGATGCAGATGTGAAGGCGCGGATCGGCAAAGCAAGAGTAGCATATCTATAACTAAAGAACATCTGGAACTCAAGACAACTTTCAACCAACACCAAGGTCAGGATTTTCAATACAAATGTCAAGACAGTTCTACTGTATGGGATGGAAACCTGGAAAACTACGAAAGCCATCATCCAGAAGATACAGGTGTTTATTAACAGTTGTCCACGCAAAGTACTTCGGATCCGTTGGCCAGACACTATCAGCAACACCTTACTATGGGAGAGAACAAACCAGATCCCAGCGGAGGAAGAAATCAGGAAGAAGCGCTGGAAGTGGATAGGACACACACTGAGGAAAGCACCCAACTGCGTCACTTGAAATCCTCAAGGTCAAAGGAGAAGAGGAAGACTAAAGAATACATTACGCCGAAAAATGGAGACGGATATGAAAAGAATGAAAAATAATCGGATAGAACTAGAAAGGAAGGCCCAGGACAGAGTTGGTTGGAGAATGCTGATCGGCGGCCTATGCTCCAATGGGCGTAACAGGTATAAGTAAGTAAGTATCATGTCTACAACCCACTTCACTAGTATGCGGTCTTCAGTGATGACTGAACTCTAAACTTAACATTCAGAAGACAGAATAAATGCAAACGGGTTACTGCCATCAATCCTAAGTCATGTCATCTAAGGTCGATAACCATAAATTATGATTGTCACCTAACTCTGAGTTGTGCATTCGCCCATACTCCTCAACTCAATAGCAAATGAACTTAAAAGTTAATAAACAAGACATAATCTCAACCATTTTTATTATATTGGTTCTAATCAAAGCACAATGGATTGAGAAAACATGGAAAAAAATCTGATAATTGATATAAAAAAACCGAATCTCAGTTATCAATCGGGTTTCGTAGCTTAATTGGTAGGAGAAATAACCATTAATATCAGGAAACTGGGATCTGTTAGGAATACTATTATTAACCTATTGACTGACTGTTCTAGATAAAAGTGAACCAACCCTTTATTATTATTATTATTTTATTTTTATTTATTTTAAAATATTTATATTCCTCCCCTATTACATAATTCTTAAACCACATTATTATTTACGCATTTCCACCACCTGATCCTCCTAAATTATCTTAACTTTTCATATTCTATTTAATTATTATTACGTAACCTATCTTATGATTATTCAATTGCATTATTACACCACCCAACCTGGATTAACCCCCTTCTTTTGACCTCTGACCTATTTCTAGCATATATATATATATATAGTTATTATTGTAACCCAGTTATTTACACTCATTTATGTCAATTGTTTTCACTCTATCTCCATGTAAAAATTCTATCACATTTTTTGGTTTGTAAGCAGCTGACGAGAAACCTCGAAATAATATGAATTCATACTATTCTGCATCAATATTTGTTCTTGCTTTATTTGAACCAACCTACTCGATGATCGTTATTATCATTACAGGGTTATGGATATTGTTAAACATAACTAAGATCACAAACCGATTGAAGTTAGGTAACTATTCAAGACTCGCAAGCACTGGATTACAGTTTCGTCTCAGTATGGGACTCATCAACAGTGCAAGTCCGTGACCCCACATTCAGAAATCAAGCACAGGTCCTTCAGTCTCACATGAGAACGTTCTGCCTCTGGAACAGTGGGCTGGCATCCAAAGGTGTTAATGTCTAATTTCAATAAATGTACGATATTGCGTGGTCACCTCCTATTGTCTTTGGTCGATAACTTCCTAACACTCGAAAAAGTTGAACTTCACTGGTCACGGTTTCTCACTAGAACTCTGAAAATTTCCTATCGAAGTTAGCCACTAGTGAACACATGATAACTATTGTTATTAATATTGTTATTATTATTATTATTATTATTATTATTATTATTATTATTATTATTATTATTATTATTATTATGGTGTTTATCATATTAAGATACAACTAGACAACTCCACAAACCATAATTTTTACTTCTAGAACTATTTTCACACAACACTTATCACCTGGTCTTATTTATAAAGAAAGGTTCATTATTTTGTTGAGAGAACTGTGACGATGGATATGACTTATAGAAGGTTTCCGTAATGAGTTGATAACGGTCAAAAAACTAGTTGTGGTTGGTAGATTCCAATAATACCGCGATTGAGGTGGTCGCCCATCAGTACCATTGGATGATTATTACACTAAATCTCCATATCAGTCAAAGTGGCACACGTCGACTCACTAGTCTAAAGGTAACATGTTTGTAGCGGGACGTAAAGTTTCAGGTTTTAACTCCTGATGGAGTCATAGCTAAGCACGACAGAGGACTCTGATGCAAAGGTTAAACAGCTATCTGGCACTCTAGTTTCTAATGGTTTCTCAATTAATGTCAACCTGTACGGTTTATTTAATAATTAATTCATTATCATTACCAAAACTTTAATTTCTTATAATTACATACTTTTACAGCTTGCCACCAATTCGGATCTTCTGAATTGACTATACGCAGAATTTCACCTTTTAAAAATGCCAGACCAGCTTCTGGACATGGAGTTAGTGAATCTGAGCTTGGACTGTATGAGAATAAAGCTCGAACATGTACCTAATCCAAAAAAAGTAGTTTAAGAAAAATAATATTAAGTTAGTTGACAAACAAATAAAGTTTTTAAAAAAACGTTATTAATTGAACAACAACGAACTCATCGATCTGTGTCTTTATTTCTGATTACAGGAGAACCATACATACTGACTTTGATTAAGGGTCTCCAAAAAAGTAAAAAGATGGAAGATAATATCTGATGTTAATGTCGATTCGATGAATGATAAATCTTCACCTAAAATAGTTGAAATAAGCCTGGTTTTATACCAATAATCTCTAAGACCCTCGGGGAATGAATTGTTTTGAATCCTAATTTGGCTACCTGGCATCAAGAAAATATGTCTCGAGATGTCACTCCGACACTCACTTACAAAGGTATACCACTCTCCACGGAACCTGGAAAGCCTAATTTCTATAATTAAAAGATTTATGGTTTTGCATTGATCAAAAACCGTATTCTAGGAAGAAATAGCTGTCCAGTGTTCCTTGGTTTTCAAAGATTCTTCTAATGAGTGATAAATATTATCTTTGACATTAAGATTTGGTTATATTCGGTATAATTTTAAAATCGTTGGATTTTGAAACTCTACTTGATGATAACGATGTCTAGAAATATTGGATAATTTAAATACTGCTTCTTACTTGATTTTTTTCTGCTTGTTGTTTTTTTGTAATAGATGGAATCAGTTTCAACTTCACATCGCCAGATATCGTTGTCTGTACATTTAAAAAGGAATTCATTTGAACAAAATCAAAAGGAAAGTATCAACTATGATTTAAAATAAAATAAAAGTAAAATGACAGATACAAGAGTATTTTATGACAGCTTTCCTAATCTTCACTCATCTATAAACAATACTAATCATAACTACATAATATATAAATAAATATATGGATTTAGCTCGAAACCAAGGAGTCATGGGACAGCTTTAATTTTCATACGCTGTAACTAAAAAGTTATAGTTGAGCTTCAAAGTTGAAATCTATTGTTTTAGTGTTCCTTGTTTTATATAACTTTGTTTTATTATAATATTATGAACAATCACACTTACATCCTGATTGTAAGTTGTGATTATGAATGTAACAGTGGTTCAGAGCTTAAAGGTATTCAGTTGTTTTTATACATATCTTTTGTTGCACTGAAATCTACCTTCATATGATAAATATCACTCATAAACTTGTGAGTAATGAACACTATAAAGGTGACTATATTTTTATAAAGCTATAGTGGATTAATATGATTATTTATGTAATTATTTTGCACACTAACACGGATGAATAAATGAAAAGAGTTGTCCATTCAACATGATTACTTACGATATTGTATGGTTGTAATGAGTCAAAAGAATGAGATGATAGATCTACTTTTTAAGCTTCTCAGAATTAGTCACATTTGCTATGACAAAAGAACTGATAATATCCGGAAGAGTTGAATTTATAGCAGTTATTGCTACAATTGTAGACATTAATAATAAAGTAGTTTGATCATGTTGAACGACATTTAGAAATTGAACTAAAATACAAAAGTCAGTCATTAAAATGACAACTAACATCAAATCATTGTGTCAGCAGTGATATGACTATTGTTGCCTTTGATTTCTTCAGGCACGTTGCTGTTGAATTTTATTAGACTAACTAGACTAGTAAAGGGAACATTTAATGCAGCTAACCTCTGTCTATCGTGCTCGATCCGATCTATGATGATTCCTCAACTAAAGGATAAGTTACCTGGTTCTGACACATCTATGTGTATCTACGAATTCCTGTGGAGAAAGCTATATTGGGTGCCCTGCTAAACAACTGAGCCAACGAGTTAGTGAACACGTCCCTTTATGGTTAGGCAAGGGTACCGTCAAAACAATACGCAACCCTGTTCTACCACGCTTGATCGATAGCCGTCATGTAGCAGACAGAAATAGGTCATTTAAAGTAATTTATCGTATCACTATCAATTTCTCTTATGGGATTCAATCTCGTCTCTTGCACATAACAGAAGCTATAGGAATCCGAGCTAACAATCCAAGTCTTTGTATTCACAATAAATTCGTAACATCTCTATATCTCCCTTGGCCTTGATAAATGGTTTTATTTTATTTATTATTTTCCATGCTCTTTGTTTCGTTTATTCTCATTCACCCCCTCCCACCTATTTTTTTCCAAATATATGCTTCATTGTTCAATTATCTGAACACTTCTTATTACACGATCTTATAGTTTTCATGAATGTTATTTCACTTACTTACTTACGCCTGTTACTCCTCGCAAAGGAACATAGGCCGCTCACCAGCATTCTCCATCCAATCTTGTCCTGGGCAATCCTTTCCAGCTGTTATACATCTTGTTCATATCTGCTTCTATTTCCCGACGTAATATGCTCTTTGATCTTCCTCTTTTGCGCTTCCCTTCAGGATTCCAAGTTAGGGCTTGCCTCGTGATGCAGTTTGATGATTTCCGTAATGTATGTCTTACCTATTTCCATCGTCTTTTCCTAATTTCCCCTTCAGCTGGAAGTTGGGTTGTTCTCCCCCACAGAAGGCTGATGCTGATGGTATCCGGCCAATGGATGTTGAGTATCTTGCGTAGACAACCATTTAAAAATACTTGTACCTTTTGATGGTGGTTGTTGTAGTTCTCCAAGTTTCAGCTCCATACAGTAGAACTGCCTTGACGTTCGTATTGAAGATTATCACTTTGATATTGGTTGAAAGTTGTTTTGAGTTTTATATATTCTTCAATTGTAGGAATGTGACCCTTGCTTTGCCAATCCTTGCCTTTACGTCTGCATCTGATCCTCCTTGTTCATTGATGATGCTTCCCAGGTATGTGAAGGATTCTACATCTTCCAGAGTTTCGCTATCAAGTGTGATTGGATTGCTGTTCTCCGTGTTGTATTTGAGTGCTTTGATTTTCCCCCTGTGTATGTTGAAGCCTACTGATGCAGAGACTGCTGCTACACTGGTTGTCTTTATCTGCATTTGTTATTGTGTGTGCGATAGGAGAGCTAGGTCATCTGCGAAGTTCAAATCGTCTAATTGGTTCTGAGCTGTCCATTGTATGCCGTGTTTTCCCTCAGATGTCGAGGTCTTCATAATCCAGTCGACCACCAGAAGAAACAGGAAAGTAAAGAGTAGACAGCCTTGTCTGACTCTAGTCCTTACTTGGAATGCATCTGTCAGCTGTCCTCTATCCACGACATTGCACTATAGTCAATGTTATTTCAGCATCTATATTTTTCATGTCATGGACTTATTTCGCAATACGAAGCATTCATTTGAGCCTTTGTTATCACAACTAGTAGACCTGTCATCACATTATCAATTTCTACGCTTTACTTATTATGTTTATTTATGTAATCACTGACTCATAAACTGCCTTGGTTGGTTTAATGGTTTCGTATATGCATATAAATACTACTGTATATTAAAGTAAAGCCTGATGAAGATCCAACCGAAAACAATATTGTCCGGTTATATATGTTGTTCGAATTTTATTAAATCTGAAAAATGTGTATCCAGTCAAGTTTCGCGACCATTTTGCGAAAATACCTTGTCAACCAACATCAATCAACACAAAGAACTCAACAGTATGAAACTATTTAATGCAAAGTGACTTAATCCTAATTTATTCTTTTTTTCAGTCAATAGTCACGTCAATGATCCAAAAACTGTGATAACATAAAAAAATCGCTTCAGACAGTAAAACTATACCTTTGTGAACATCATTGGAAATATCAATGTTTAAAATAAAGCTAACTCATCATAATACTTCTTGTATCTACACACACTATACAAGAGTATTGATTAATTTTGGCTAAAAAGTAAATAATTTATAATACTGATAAATAAGCTACTGACCAACATTCGTATCACTTCCATAGGGTCTCGCCCATGTACGGTAATACCATTAATCTCTTGGATTTCATCCCCGACATCAATAGCATCTGAAGAAAGCATGAACACATAAGAAATAAAAGCCCACACTTGAGTCGATTTATATTACTGCACAGTGAATCACATTACTTAACAAAGGAGTAGACGTAAATACATCAGGATTTATTTTGTGAATTTGAAAAATTTCGCTACATTATATGACAAATATATACAGAGTACTTACATGACATTAATGAATTTATACATCATCAAGTCAGTTACGTACATGGTAATGCATAATTGATGGTCGAAATCAGCACTAAAGGATCACACATAAATAAAATCGGTGATTGCTCAGTGGTCAATCAATTTTAAATATATCAGTCCCATATGAGGATAGTCGAGACCCGAACAACTCGGATGTAATGTTTCAGAATGTGACGCTGGGTGACTTGAGTTTGAATCTCACATAGAGCACCAGTTTCCTCGAGATTGTAGATACAACTTGTTGACGAGTGCCAGTTACCATGATACATAGTAATAGGGTTTCTTATCGACTACCTTCGGCCACCTAAGACTAAAACTTAGCGCACGCGATGTCCATTCACTTAGACGAGTTGTCCTATTGCAAATCGATCAGTAGAATTCGACCAACACTAAAGGACTAGATAAAAATGACATTGGTTATGACTAGGTAGTCAATGAAGGTTGTCGGGCCAGGTTCATCATGTGAGGGGTTGAGAAAGTTACAGGATTACCAAGCTTGCACAACAGATAAAATATAAGTTAGAAGGAGATAGGTTTGAAAGATAAGTCACCTGGTGAACCAAAATACTGATTCATGTTCTTTTATTTTTAGGGTCATATTGATTACCTATTAATATACACTAGTTTTAATGATAGTAACAGTGATACATGGACTTCAGTGATAGTCTTTACTACTTTGCCCTAGTCTAGTTAAGTTAGTCAAATATTAAATAAATACTTCACTAAATTAGTTTGAGGTCGCTGAATTTTTAGGGAATAATTTCAATTTATTTTGTTTGCTATTCAATTTAATACAAATGCTTGGTGCGGATCTAAAACGTCACTTGCATAATTACTCTATTGCTTCTTCCATGATCCAAGAATAAATAATTAAACGTCACCGTTTAGTGATTCTTTCATTTATAAAATTCAGTCTTTCTATTATTAGAATATTTAAAATTTCCTGAACAATATCTTGATCCCTATCAATTAATACAAACACAAGTATTGATATGAGCTTATTTACAAACATTCACTGTCTAGACTGAAGCTTTGAATGCAACACTCACCCAGATTAACCGTCCACTATCTCATTTCAAAACCAAACCAGAATGCTAAAAAACAGATATCCATATAGTTGTATAAAAACGATCATTTATAACATTTGTGTCCTTGTAAACAGTTCTGTTCCACATAGACTCAAAAATTTCTGTCTAAACTCCAGAATCTAGGTCTATGAATAGCTTGTACTGCTCTACTATATATTAATCATTAACTAGCCGCGAACTCATCTGTACTTGTAACTAATATGTTAATCATTCAGAGAAACACTATAATTAAGGTCTGTTTTATTGTTAGATGAGATATGATTAGAATAGTTGTCTTCTCAATAGAATTACTATTTTGAAAGTGTTTACCACAAAGTAACATCACGTTTTCCTAATAAAAATCATCCTAAATGTGCTACATTGGCAAACGCATGATGATTTTAATAATCGTCTACTTCTTAATCTACAACAGATTTATCAAAATTATTTGTGGATTTATTTGCCGTTAAGCTTATTATTAGGATTTGGAGGATCGTGAAGATAGTTCACTTTGTAGTTTAAATCAGGAATTAACAGTAGCTAGGTAGCCATTATAAACCAGGAAGCAGTGAACAGCTTTCTCGTTCAATTATTGAACTCTTTAACCGTGCTCATCCACAACCTCATCATGGATATCACCTAGGACCTTCATACATTGCAGCAAGAGCTTAAACTTCAGATAATTAAAGTGGCATCCAATGACCTACATGTCCAGCTTCAATCAGTTCATATTATACGACTATCATTCATTCCCATTTAGGATAATTGTCTAACGTTCAACAAGATTAAACTCCCCTATACACAAATTCTTACAATTAATCACTAATGTGCACAAATTTATGATTAAAACAATAGGTTTATGTGAGTTTTTGCTGTGGAAATAATCAACCAACTTCATTCTCAATAATCGCCCCCAAATGCCCTGGTACGGCCGAGAGTGGAGAGAGTTTGCTCTCCCTCTCAAAATGCTCTCACATGGCCATGTGTATACAGCCTCTGACATGTAAGTCCTACTCACAGCCTTCTCATGGTGGGTGATTTGTTTACGAAATTGAGGGGACGGAAAGCGAATGTCCAGTGCTTTAACCGGGTTAATTTATTTATTTATTTTAACACATAGATATTGATACAAGGAGGCACCAAATACACATGCGCCAAACAAACCTCATTTGATATGTGTGAGGGCTGTGATACTGCTCGGGTGCCCATACCGAAGCAGGAACCGGGTTGGTGGACATGGAGAGTCCACCCAGAGGAGTTGGAAAACCTTGATTCCAAACCAATGGTGCACATGGGCTCCAGTATCCTGAGAGAACAAATGGCGTATGAAGCAATCGTTGGTCACCGGCTACCATGGGACTGCAACTTCTTACGATGCTCCACTGCCTTGAGAGAGATGGAAAAGGCAGCGGCAATAGATAATAGCAGACAATTGTTCAGACTTGTTAAGGAAACCGGTATTAGGAAACCGACTGTTAGCGAAACACTCTCAGAGAAAGATGGACATATTATACATTCTCAATCCAGGAGATTGGATCAATGGGCAAAACACTTGAGGGATCAGTTCAACTGGCCTTCAGCCACACTTCGGTTTCCCACGATCTCTAGTCAACCTGAACGGCAAGTTAATGTAGGTCCTCCGTCCCTTTACGAAGTTGAAAAAGCCATAGGAAATCTGAAGCGAGGAAGAGCAGCAGGCCCTGACGGGTTTACTCCTGAGATTTTTAAGGATGGTGGTTCAGTATTAGCAGTGAGATTAAGTGAGGTCTTGGGTAGAATTTGAGAACTGGACGTAATCCCATCTGACTGGTCTCAATCACTGATTGCGCCAGTCTATAAGAAAGGACAAAAGTCCTCTTGTGACAATCACAGAGGAATCAGTTTGACTAATATAGTGTCTAAAATATTAGCTTCAATAATACTTCGACGCCTAATCAAAGCTCGTGAAGAACAGACTAGAGAAAATCAGGCTGGTTTTCGACCTGGACGTGGTTGTATAGACAACATGTTCACACTACGTCAGGTTCTAGAACACAGACACACATTCAGACGCCCCACAATCGTAGTATTTCTCCACCTTAAGGCGGCATTCGACTCTGTTGATCGTAAGGTTCTATGGCAGTGTTTGTCACTGAAAGGAGTACCAAAGAAGTACATTAACCTTATAAAGGCTCTCTACTCGAACACAACAGGTAGAGTGAGAGCTTATGGCGGACTGTCATCAGAATTGATTACCTCAAGTGGTGTTCGTCAGGGCTGCCCACTCTCTTCATTCTTGTTCAACTTTGTCGTCGACGTACTTTTAGAGATGACACCTTCCTCGTCTAGATTCCCAGGGGTTGAACTTATACCGGGAGATTCACTTGTTGACTTAGAATATGCTGATGACATAGTTCTATTTGGTGAAGACGCTGACAAAATGCAGAGTCTTCTGACCACTCTAAGCAACAATTTAAGCACGTCCGGGATGCGATTTTCCCCCTCGAAATGCAAAATGTTGCTTCAGGATTGGGTTGCATTGACACCCGAACTAACGATAGGGAGTGAAGTAATTGAGCGTGTCGATCGCTTCGCGTATCTTGGAAGTCTCATCAGCCCTTGTGGTCTGGTGTGTGACGAAATCTCAGCACGGATACAGAAGGCTCGACTAGCTCTTACCAACTTGCGTCATTTATGGCGTAGGCGAGATATCCGTCTACCAACCAAAGGACGAGTTTACTGCACAGCAGTTCGTTCCGTCCTACTTTATGGCAGTGAAACATGGCCGGTAAGAGTAGAGGATATTCGTAGGTTACTAGTATTTGACCACAAGTGTCTTCGAAATATTGCTTGTATATCCTGGGACCATCGAGTGAGTAATGCAGTTGTTAGGAAACGGGTACTAGGTAAGGATGACAAATCAATTGATGTAGTGAAACTTCGTCAGTTGAGATGGCTGGGACACGTGTTACGTATGCCCAACCACCGACTGCCTCGATGTGCGATGTTTTGTTGTATAGGAGTAGATGGGAAGAAAGTTAGGGGCGGTCAGACCAAAACATGGCACAATTCCATGAAGTCACTGACAAGTAGACTGAGTCATGTTGGTAGGTGTAGACTACCTGGTTGGGGACCGCGAGATGATAGCAACCGATGGTTAGAGACCCTGAATAACATGGCTCAAAATCGTTTGCAATGTCGCAGGTGCATCCACTCTTTGTGTTCTCCCAAATTCTAATCTTCTGAATTCTTCATGTCCCTTTTTTTCCCTCTTTCCAAATTTATTTCACTGGATTATACTCCTTGAATAGCATCTTCAAACCCTAATTTTTCTGATTACAGCTTATAATTTTACTACATCTAGCACTACGGGATTTGAATCGAACACTGCATCTCTGTGCTAATGTGGTGTGGCAACTCGAACTGATGTACGTACGTACGAAGTTCTACGTTGTTACTGACTGATTGACTGACTGACCACTGCCTTGTGGACCAGACCTTTAGGTACAAGGCTCGGGGTGTGGCCCCCTAAGAAAACCACCTGTTCGATTTGGGCACACGGGTAGTATCACAGGCCTCACACAAATCAAATGAGATTTGTGTGGCGCATATGTATCTGGTGCCCCCTTGTACCAATATCTGTGTGTTCAAATATACAAATAAATACTCATTAATCAGCTTAAGGATCGCTCAAAAATGGTATACCTTTTATAACCTTACTGAATTTTTATCAGTCTACCTAGCAGTGACATTCTAGATATATTAAAGTAACTAAATAATCTAACATCTTTAGAGTTTAAATCACAAACTGATCTAAGCTATACCACCATTGAAAACCTGAGGGAAATGGAAAGCCGTTTCGTCCAATTACGGGACTAATCAGCAGTGTGTATCCATGATTTTTCATCCTGGAATTGAATCAAAGACCTTCAGAACCGCGCGAGGACACTTAATGTCTGAACCACTGAGCCAGGATTCAACAGTGTTAGTGTTTAACTTCAATCAATTTACAATATTGTGCAACCCTCATCCATTGATTGAGGTGATTTATACTGTGAAAACTCTTCAATACTAAAAGTTCTATCAAAATAACATTAACACATTCATATTATGAACTAACTAATAAAGAATTCTGTGAACAATCCTAATATTCCACATTTAGACAAAGAGTATAGTTCATTTTAACGAGTTTATTTTGTTACCTGTACGATCAGCAGCTCCACCGTGCATAACACGTGCAACTAGGACAGCTCCATTTCTTTCATTAATTTTAATTGTAACTCCAAGTGGTTCATGATTCTTGATTAAATTTACAATCTTTTGTTAGTCATTAATAAGAAGTAAGATTATATGGTTTTTAAAAATGAAGTTTACCTTCACGCTTATATCATCTTCATCTACTTCTGATGATATCTGTGGTAGAACTGGTCCATAAGCTTTATTCGCTATTCCATCATGACAAAGTAATAACGACTAAAACAATTTGAATCCCTCTCTCTGTGTGTGTGTGTAAATAACTTACTTTAATATGTGGTCTGGCTAATAAATTAACTAACTGTTCTGCTTCAGGAATATAATGATGACATCTTAAATGATCATAAGCCTTTAATGAAAGAAAGAAATAGTAAAATGGAAAACAAATCAATGTATTACTTCGATAGCAGCAGCCTTTGCACATAATGATATTGGTTGAGGTTTTGCTTGAGACAGTAACAATTCAATTTGTTCATATGTCTTTAACAGAGTAGTTCATTCGAATGAAGTCACAATAAAAAATATACCTTGGAGAAACGTGCATCAATATTTTCATTTCCTGATTTAGCACAAGTTCCGAAGACTAGAGACATTTTGTAAATACTTAGTAAAAATTCCAATGACTAGGATTTATTCCTTGACCTTGTAAATGATTGGTTAATAGAGAATCAATAAAATATCTTATTGGGTTCAATGGCAGAGGACAAATAATAACGTTAGCCAATCGTAAAAATGTAAGCTTCTTTGGTAGTTATAAATGATGTTCCTTTACAAATAGAATTTAAATAAACTTTTAGTTATTTTATTAAATCATGTCGGAAAAGACTTGATGAATCGGTGTTTTTATGGTATTTCTTTGTAAACTGGAAAAAAACAGGTATATCGTCATACACGAGACATAACAATGTTGAAAGTAGCGTAAATGAAGAAAACTTACAAATCTCCTTATCTCTTATTTGATTTGTGTATTTCAGAGGATAAGAAGGGATCTATTCCCCAAGTATTTTGACAGCAACACGATTCTTCCAATCTCGGAAAACATCCACAGACTTACATGAGCGGACTCAAGAGAAAAAACTGTAATGGATGAATATGTATTCCCATACCCAAACCAGATCAAAACTGTCTCAATATACTGACTTTTATGAGTTTCATTCACATGGACTCTTAGTCAGATTTTCAGCTATACGATTACTCACATTCCGATTACAGCTACATGCTAACAAAGGTTTGAATTTCAACTACTGAACGACTTAAATCTATACAACTGAAAAAAGTGTGGCAGTGAATTAAATTCGTCAGTGAAACCAGAGTGGCAGTAAGTATTCGGTGACTTCTAGGACAATCAAATACAAATACCACGTGTTTTTAATGATGACCCTTACTTTTTATGTTATTAATTCGGCGGTCGACACAAAAGAGATGTTAAATATTTTATTTTGTCGAACGCTTCGACCAGGTGTTTTCCTACTTTGTCACTCTCAAAGGAAAATTAACTGAACGACAGCTATCACCACGACACTGTTTTAGGTCATATCTAGCTCTATGGTTTGGTCGTTTTCGATGGGGGATTAGAAAATAAGTTTGTTATCACGACTTTTTTATAAATAGTGGTACGGCTTGTATTAGTTCATTTAAATTTGTTTGGTCATCCTTACTAGCCTTATTATAATTAGCTCAACAGTTATACGACTTTGATAATCCGGGAAGTACTAGATACCAATGCATTTACTCTGCAATGTCGAGGTACTCCAGAGGTATGGATGATCTGGATTGGATTCCATGTGCAGTAGGTGCCTCTTGTTCATGAGTCTTGAACTAGAACAAAACACTGTCTTTTGTAAATGTTCATTGTCTACAAAATGAGTACCGGTGAGTATATTGACACAATTGTTAGTTCACGATTTCATTTATTCCAGATAGCTACAGTTCCTTACATTGGCTTATACCATGTAGATTTTTGACATATCTTATTTTGAATACATACTCTTAACTAATTTTTTCAATATGTTTTTATTTCAGTCACAAAATATCTAATTACCTGGAATATGGAAAATATGATATAATACTACCTGTTTACTTAAGTTAACGTATGGCAAAAATTTTCCCTCGAAAATTAAGCCCCATTTTTCCATTAGTGGCATATACCTCAACATGAGAAAAGTGTTATGTCCTAGCACCGGCCAATCCGCATAGACGAGCTGAAGCAACCAATACGCAACAAGGACGAGAAGACTTATATTCTATGCCTGACGGTTGGCCCAACACCAACTGGCCCCAAACGAAGAGGAAGAACATACAACCAATGATCACCAGTTCAGGATCACTGTTACATTCCAGATATCCACTTACATACATACAAGACCAGGTCATGTAGCAGACCAATTGAGTAACAGTACTAACATGGAACAATATTACTGATGGAAAACGTGATGGGTACACAAATAATCGGTTCTAGTTTATGAGTTGAAAATGCCATAGCAACAAAGTATATATATTTAAATAAAACCTTAGAAGAATAGCTTCGAAACTTTTACCTCACAGTTAAATTATTTTTCATGACAAAAAAGGAAGTTGGATCTTGATTAATCATGAACATTTATCGTTCATCCACATTATCAAGAATACTTTAGTATATCATGTCAACTAGACGTTCAGAACGGATAAGTTGATGTTTCAATGGTAGCAGTTGGTACAGAAGTAACTGCTGACAGTAGATAACTTATGTAGCTTTTTTAAATATTGTTGTATACATTTAGAGGTACTGGGAGAACCACTGTGGTGTGTGCTACTTATATTGACATAAGTATATGATGTTAGCCGTGAACAGAAGGTCTGACAGCAGAGAGACAAGAGGATCGAACAGTAAAGAATGGAAACAGGATGCAATTTGTATGAAAATGCAAGAACAATGAAGTCTGATTCATTTTGAGACAATTGGTGGACATTTTGCAAATTAAGCATTTACTTAATGATTGTTAGATTTTGTTAACAATTCCTGTAATTCTGTGTTAAGTACACTCGACTGTCCCCACCCGTGTTCTGTTCACTACACCACCACCAGTTGTTAGATACTACACGGAAAGGTACACTGTCAAACCTATGTTGGACCGAACTTAGATGTTCCGAGGCTAATACATTACCATTTAGCAACTGGATCGAAACCTAATGTTTCGTATTTTCAAACTTCGATGAGCCGCCACTGGTTTGTAACAGTCTTGCTTGGTAGTCAAGCTGCATTACAAATTGAGAGGGAATCCATATGCGAGCTTCTGAATTTTGACTAAGTAGCTCAATGGCTTCCAGGCATAAAAGTCGTTTCTTCCTGCGAAGTCATGTGTGGGTTTCGTAGTCCTAAACCGGAGTGCGCCAGAAACGATTTTTTCATTAATCTTCCATAGGTGACTTTTCACTAACTTCACACTTAACCGATGACGTAAGTTATAAGACCTTACAGATTTTGGCCATTACAGCACAAACGGAGTTTAGTAAGGTGTCTATTCAACGCATGTATGTTGTGAAATACCCTTTAAAGCCTGTTAATCAATAAGAAGTTAAATGACATCTAGATTCTTTTTCCATTTCGCTTGGAAGAAAAGAGTTGACAATCTGGCACCGCATAAAGTCAGGAATACTCTGAGAAGGGGACGGCAGAGTCAATAATGTGACACTATAGACAAGCTAATCGTCACTGGGGATTAAATCCATGTTTCCATGTACGCTTCGATAATGTAAAAGTGAGTTATATATCGCTGAGTTTACCAAACCGTGTGTGTAAGTATGGAGAAGCGCTCAATATACGAAATCAAGTGATGGGATATAAACATAAATGACTCTATGTCAGTTGAGATTCCAATCTCAGATAAGTACAGGTGTTAGCTATCCATGATCCTCTATAGCCAAACCTGGAATAGAAACAGCATGAGATTGACTCCAAGACATTTGAAATCTATATGGAAACTACCATGGGGAAATTCTTAGGTTGTATGTATCATTACCAAGGTTTGATTCGATAATTTCGAATAAAATGAGCATTGGGTAGGTTGTTATCAATAAATAATATATTTGTAAAATCCCAATGAGTAGGAAATTAGACTTTCTGACGTTTCGTGACTTAGTGTAAGTCACTTCTTCAGAGAATAAGTAACCAAATTAAAATTAATCCAAATTTAAATAGTACAAACGGAACAATAAGAATAATATCTGATCAATCAAAAACAGGTCTGGACAAGTTAATGTCATGTCATTTCTGTCAAGGTGATTCATAAGTGATATGTATGTAAATTTGTGTGTGCATTGCTTAAGAATGAAAAATTGTGTGACCTTTATGGTGAGAAACGATAGAGTTCAATTTATAATATGGTAGTGTGAATTGTAAATATGATCAGACTGAATGGCTAGGACAGATGGTCCAAGTAGGATGTATGGTGAAGCCTTCCTTTCTATTGAGAGAAGTAGGATTAAGCATTATATGGAACGCTTCAGCTACCCTCCTTTCTTTGTAGTTGGGAAAGCCTTTTTGCAATATTTTGATGTTTTTAAAATCAATTTGGTGGTTGTTGAAAATGGCATGAACTGCTATTGCCGATTTAATTTGAAGTTGATCCAATTCTACAGGATTGTTAAGAGGTTTCTTTGTGTACCTAATATGTTCTTTGGCTCTAGTCAAGATTTCGCGGGATGACTCTCCAATATAGAAGGCATCACAATCGATACAACCTAATTTGTAGACACAGTTCTGTGTGGACATGAACGGGATTTTTTCTTTTAGGCGAACTAAAGTATTTCGTAGTGTGTTCGTTGTTTTGTAATATACTTTAATTCTGTGATGTTTTAAGATTCTTTGAAGTTCTTCTGTTGTGCCATGACGGTATGGTAGAACTGCAGTGCCAATCCATGGCATTTCATTCGAATCATTATTATAACGTACTAAACTGTCTTGTTTTAATATACTGCTAATAATCTTCATAGGAAAATTAATAAATTGTAAGATGCTAACTATATTCTTTTTGTTTGTCTTCCTCTGATGTGATGATCTTGTTAGCTCTTCTAAAAAGATTTAATGTTAGCGAGATCTTAACACTAAAAGGATGTGCTGAATGGAAGTCAATACAACGATTTGAGTGCGTAGGTTTTAGGTAAATGGGTAGGTCCAGAATCCCATTTATACTTTTTTTTAATTTTCTACTAATTGGGATTTTACAAATATATTATTTATTTATTCTTAGGTTGGTTTATGTGTTCAAAAGAATTGTCCTTATCTTTAGCTTAACTTAAAAGAGATTGCTTCAAAGTAGTCTGAAAATGTGCTATTATTTGAAGGTCCACTTCTCAACCACAATTTTTAAACGGGATACCATCAGACTATTTAATGTAGGTAGGAATTCTTTAAAGTAATAAAGCAGTAATAAGTTACAAGTTCTATAGAAGTAAATTATATACTTTTGGTTTGTCTAGGACTTCAACCTCATTTTACTTCCACATTCGGTCATTTGGAATTATTTATGTTCACGATATTTGCTTCCTATATGTTTGTATTAATATTTTCTCTTAGTACTGAACCTCCATTCACTTATAAAAAAACCCAACTATATGCGGATTCATAGAGTGGGGGCAAGTCACACCGATATCAGAGTTAATTATATGTTAAAAGGCTATTTGAACACTCGATAAGGTAGGATTTCCACATGTAACCCAGTTGTTAAAATTTGACCACATATATATGCTACTAAGCAATAAAAGAATATTTCATCCAAATTCTGTTCTTCTTTCAAGTCAAAGAGTACAATACAATACCATCGTATAAGAACCGAACTCATGTTATCATTTTTCTGGTGTTTTCAAGTTAATATCAGTACAATCCTAGTCACAAGAACGATGCCTCCCATTAAAAAAGTAGTATTTTACAGATGTCAAAATCCTGCATTTTAATCATAAGATTAATCCCTTAGTTCCTCTAAAAAGATGCTTGGAAGTGAATATAATTAGTTTTTTTAGTTAACATATTCTGAAGCAATCTGAATACTTTGTGCATTATATTTATCAAGATTATATTAACAATGATTGTAATGGAACATCTAGAAAATGAACGAGATGGTGAAAAAAAGTTGCAATTATTTTATATAAAAAAAGTGTTAGCAACTTTTTATTTTGGAACAGCACGTAAACAATGCGTAAACCAGAGTAAGGATGAAAGTAAAACAACACCACCGCATTGATGCAATGATCCCAATGAAGCTGGTACATAACATAATAAAGTTGTTATGCCAAGTAATGATTGTCCTAACACAGCACCAAAAACCAAGTGTGCAGCATTCCTAATACGTGGTCCTGTACATGCTACACCTAAACGCATGACATTTGCCCATAATAAACCTGTGGTTAAAACTGTTGTATAAGCTAGCATTCGATGAGTAAATTGAACTGTAGTTGGATTGTCCAAAAAGTTCCTCACAGTAGAACCATATCGAGATACAATTAAATCATCAGGAATCCACTTATCAGCCATTTTTGGCCATGAATTATAGATTAATCCTGCATCAAGACCAGCCACAAAAGCACCTGAATAATAGTAAACAAAAAAAAATTACCACCAATTCAACAAAGAGTCAATCAAATGTTTACCAAAAGAAGAAAATATAGAACAACAACAGAACTAATATCAAAAACTTAACTGGAAATCCCAATGACAATAGACAATGTTTCAAAAAAGAACATATCCAATCTTTAAAATCTTAATAAAATTCCAGTGTGTGTCATATGTCTCCTTTTCGGAGTTAGAAGTGATAGTTTCTTTGAAGAATAAAATTTCAAATATTGGCAATGCATATAAACCAGATAAGCATAGAGTCCACTTGATGATCAACCCTGATAAGTGATGTGTGGTAATGAAAGTAAAGTATGATTGGTTGTTAAACGTGAACAAACAACCACAGCATACGGACTATTAAATATATGATTTTCCTCCTTATCATTGATTTCTAGTTCGGACTCACTGTGTGTGACTGCTTGTAATTATTAATCTGGTTCTCTATTCTGGGTTGTGAATCCTAGTTCTGATATAACGTGATTAGTCTTATTAACGTATTATCGTAATGCACGTGTAACAGAGTAAAATGTTGTAAACCATCCGTTATATCAGTAAAGTTTTACATTAGGTCATCAATGCTACTATTAATGATTTCTTGTAGTTTTCAAAATATTTGTGAAATGACATAGTCATGTGAGACTTATACCAGGCACAAATATGAACCGATTCAAGTTACCACATCACATTAGCAATATCAATCCTAATCCCAAAATAGAAGTGTGATGTGTGCTACTTATATAGACATAAGTAGAATATACGCTAGTCGGGACTAGAATGTCTGGCAACAGAAACTCGAGGGGGAAAGAACGGGAACAGAAAGCAATTGGTATGGAAATGCGGAACATTGAAGTCCCAGACGATTGACTGATATTTGTAAAAGGAACAGTCAAGCTTGTGACAGTTGATTGACATCTTGCAAATTGAGTATTCACTGTAGAGTTGTCAGATTTTACTGAGATATTCTGTAATTTTATATTCAAAAACATTCGATTGTTACCACTTGTGTTCTCGTTCACCACAGTAGTACAAACAATATTAGTAGGAATAGAAAAGATTAGGTATTGGGTGAAAAAAATAAAGTAAAAGGTCACTATCTGACAACCCAAAGCAAAATAATGGTAACGGAAATCTCGACCTTTTCAAATATTTAAACGATATAACAGAGCCTATTATTCAATCTATCAATAGTCCGATGATTTATTTGAGTTTAACTCTGAAGAAAGAAAAAGGGATGTATCCTAATTGGACTATGCTTCTTAACTCATTATAGCCTCTTCAGTCAGTGGTTACGAAAGTAGGACCTGGCATAAAAGTGTTTGCCCAAGTTGATGTATCATATCAGTACAGTGAGTGATAAAAAACCAATAAGATCTATACAAAACAGCAATGGGTAACAGTAGCATTGGTGACAGTAAAAAAGGTTAAACATAGCAGATATGGCTCGCAAAAATGATCAAAATCAAGGAATTAGAATCACAGGATATCATTACTCATGATTTGTGATAAGTCTTGCTAAATGAGTGCTCGATCCGACTTACTAGACGTTTCTAGTAACTCCAGGCTAAATTGACACGATTACTTGAAAACAAGAGGAAAGGCGCGAAGTGCGAAAAAAACTTTACCTCAAGGTTAGTTTGTGTACGGAAAAACGAGGATATTTATAATACTACAGATGATTGTACGGTTTTGAAATTTTCCGGAACCAAAGCAAATATAGTAGCAAAAGAGGTAAATATCCAATCAGAAACGTAACACTTGGCAATTTACATTCTAGATGTTTCTGGGAAGCTTCTATTCAACGTTGACTGAATAAAATGGTTCCCAGTGTTTTCTGAACCCATATGGACTTTTCCGAGGAATACTTTGCAACTCCCCAAAAATGCATCCATCTATTCATTGAAACATAAGGAAGTGACAAATATATGTGTGCCACACAATAAAAATAAGGTAGTGGAAGGATAGATGAAGGAAAGTGAGCATAATAAAAAGAACGATAATTGGAAATTAGTGTATGAAAGTGAAATAATAATAATAATGATAATAATAGTAATAATAATAATAATAATAATAATGGAGCAGATCAGTTGGAAAAATACAACCAGAAATAACTCTTTTAGTTGAAGAAGTTACTCTCACTGACCTCTTTCAACGTTCACAAACCAATAAAGATAGGACAACAGATAGGGTTGGCTTTATCTCTAGGTAGTCTCAACATCGACATATGTTGTCTATCCGAGACCCAAGATCCTAGTAAACTACTACAAATTCACTCTCTATCTGTTGCTTCGAAAAACTTGTTTTACGCACATCTATCCAAGGACCCTGTGGAATCGTCGTCTGCTTTTGTTGGCGTTGGTGTCACAACAAGCGCTAGAGCTGAAGCAGCACCAATCGATCGGATCTCCATTAACAGCCGGTTATGTGCTGTTAGATTAGAAAGCCCCATGAAAATGAGAAGAAATCGGCGTGAAAAACAATGTCTTTTCATTGTCTCTGCCTACGCTCTGACAGACTGCAGCCCGGATGTGATCAAGAATGAGTTCTACCACCAGTTAAGTGATCAACAGAGAGCGAGTTTTTGTTTCACTCCTGTACATTAATCTCTAATGATTGTTGTTCTCGTTTTTTATTATACTCACTTTCCTTCCTCTATCCTTCTACAACTTCATTTTTACTGTGTGGCACATATATATGTGGTACCCCCTTACGCCAATGCTTATATGTTTAAACAAATAATAGTGTATAACACACTTCTAGGGCGCACCCTTCTTCAAAAGACAACCCAATAGAACACTTCTGACACTGAGTGGTTTTGAACCAAGGTCATATCTGGTCATCAGCCATAAACTATGGTCATCTCTCCGACAACAACCAGATAGTTTTATCCCCCTAAGATAGCTCAGAAAAAAACCGGCAGTCTGTGAATTCATGTAGTGATGCAACGTTTTTGTTTGACTGACCCTAAATTCCTTCCGATTTGCTCTTACTCCCATTATTCTAAAACTAATAACTGCGAGGTTTAACACGATCACACAAAGTTATTAGTTGACTAAAACTGAATACATAAACATTCTTGAACAGCTAAATATTCTTGTGCTATAGATATGAAATATTTGCAAGCAATTTCTGTCCAAATATACATGCGAACTGAAAAATAAATAAATAAAAGCTTTTTCTTACCATAAATTATGGTTGTAAACGTTAGAGCTTTACCCATATGACCATATGCTTTAAGTCGTTTGACGCCGCTGAATGGTTTAACCTGTTGAAAGAGTTTATAAATTAAGGCATACTCATAAAAACCGATAGTTTGAATACTACTTAAGCATTTGTATTAAAACTCAGAAGTGAACTATTAATTTAGCTTTGCTTTTTATATTCAGTGAAATCAGATGCTAAATTCGATTGCAAACTGTTATTAAAAAAAAGAATCACCCTGAAAGTTAAATCAGGGCGTATTGTACCTGACTCAAATAACTGACCAATAATATATAATTTTAAAACTAATGAGGTAGCCTTGAAGTGTATTGTGTTCTGTTACAGAATAAACGTTATGATATAATAAATCCCTTATTTCAAAGAAATATACGGTTAAACTTTTCTCTAACTTGCAGTAATCAAAACTAATCTACTAAGTGAACGAAATTGGTTTGAAGACTATTATAAATTAATGACAAGAAAATTTTAATATTTCCCCGTTTTTAACGGTTCCTTTAATTAATGCCTTGTATCCCCGTTTTAATATACATAATAAAACACTTCTGGTTAGTTTTGAGCTATGGTGTTTAGGTGTAATTGTTGTAAAACGAATTCGGTTCACGGTTGCGTTTTATTTTGAGAGTGGTTGATTGCAAATCACACCATTAACCACTTCAAAATCCCCATTTTACAGAAAAGCAATCTATAAGTTTTTATCACTGTGGGGTGTGTATGCTCAGTTTCAAATACTGTAGTGCAGACGGGAGTCCCAATCAAACAATAGCTGCAATGTAAGTACTTTTTAGCGGTGGCAACTTCTGGAGCAAGATAGAAATGACGGTACATTCAAGGAAATAATGTGCGTGGTTTAATTAAAGACAAATAATTGTGGCAGTTTTCAGTCTTGAAAACATGCTAACCTGAAATATTTAGTGCGCGCAAATCCCTGAGCGTCTTTCCGACAAAAGGTTTGAAAGGATTTCCCTGAATACTAAAACAACTTAGATGATACTTGACTTTCGCGCACTAATTAGTATTAAAATCAAGCTTAGATGTATGTGATTTTTTAAAAAATCTATAGGAAATTCATTAGCGTTTGAAGTTGCATGGCACACTTGTTGTGACTTTATGAGCCGCTTGTTACCACGTAATCTATTCGCCAATCAAAATACGACTTATTCGCTCTTATACTGTACCTAACCAATGACGTTCGACCAGTCTGATCAGCCTAGCGTCCTATTGACCCATTGCCCGCCTAGCCCGTCCAGCTGAGTCCAGAATGCCAATAACAGCCTCCACTATGCAAATCATTTATTTCAGACATACTGGGTTTATATACCAAACAAACAGACCGCAACGCACCATAAAATAGGAAATAACGTTCATAAACAATAAAGCCAAAAAGTGGCTGTGAACGTGGGAGGCAGTAGTCAATAAACTGAACATAGCTTAAGAACAGTAAATCGTACAATAATAATATATAGGTCAAAATAAAGCTTATAACAAGGGGAATATAGATATACATAATCTAGTTACTGAATATTTATACCATAAGAATATATAAATAATATTAGTCCATTAATAGGTCTCAGACGTTACTCGTAATGTAATCTTCACTAGGATATAACAACACTATTTGGTAACTTTATTATGTTAAAATATATGTATAACATAGCCACTCGTTTTCTTTGCTTTCAGTGGAAGTAAAGTGACAGAAATACATCATAATTTCTCCAAATAAAACGATTATCCGTTATTTATGATTTGATTCATACTAAGAGATAGGTTTAGATTTATATTTGATAATTAGAACCATCTAACACTGATTTCTAACCCTTATCAGAAATGAATACATGGAATACAAAAGTCCCTATTTTTACACAACAATCATAATTATATCAAAAACGAAACCTAACCTATCTTAGAATCATTATTATCGAGCCTCTGTTGGTTAAAAACTAAAGTCAAACCTTTTTTACGTTCAGGTGTTATGAGGAGTTCTAGTTAAAATTGGCAAACATACTCTTAAATTACTACTTAACACGTAACTTTAAAAGATAAGCGAAAAAGTCACACTTACTAAAGAATGGGAAGCTAAATGGTTAAAGCTACCCCATAGAAGTAATGAATATAGAATAATCGCTGAAATCAAGTGAGCACAAAGCCAATAATGATCCACACGCGGAACACCAATATAATTCTCATTTGGTGGAAGACCTGCCGGTCGTCTAGGTTCTTTGAGACCGCTGCGTACCATAAGCCAGCCCAAAACACCCTACAGTGAAAACATGCATACGTCATAATAAGCATGAAAAACCAAATTTTATAGTGTTCAGCAACATCTTTTAATTTTAATATTTAATGTTATCAAACCAAAACCGCAAGCAACCTGTTATAAGTTTATAACTGAAGCATATTTTACTATCTGAATAATATAATCTTCTAATCAAATTTTGGTGGCAAAACTATGACAAAACTTGACATAACTTATGTAGTGGAATGGAAGCCAAAGTTGTTAAAAAAATACTACTGAAGTGATCAATATCATGATCGGTACTGTGATCCCTGGATTATAAAGTGTGGACCAGCTAGGTTGGTTTCAGTGAACGACATTTGATGGAAATAAACCCTTTGGAACCACTAACTAGACATATAACATTGGTTATCCGCTCATCACAAATTATAAACATTTTTCGGCTTATTTACCACCTCGTATATCATATATAAGATAGGCGATGGAGTTTGAACAGTACTTGACAAGTAAGACCGACTGTCTGGATCTTACAAAATTTGCCTGCGTCAACTCGAAGTGAATGTGAGAGACTATAAGTGTTTTTTCAGCACTTGTTCAATTGCAGTTATTCATTAATTTCAGAAAATAGTAATAATAATACTGTTTATTAGGTTTTATCGAACTTAAGGAAGTAGCAACGTTCCGGTCAGTCAGTCAAATGCACCGTAGAAACTGCCACGTGTACATCGGTTCGAGTTGACATACCCCATTAACACAGTGAGAAGAGATTATTAGGCCAAATTCCAAAGTAGTAGAGGTAGTAACAGTATTAATGGTAATACAGAATCTTAGCAATTAAGGATACAGTTCGAAAAAAGTATATATGTAGGTGTGTTAGCGGGACATATACTGGATTAAAGCATGCTCAATGCACGCTGACTGGCTAATTCTTATCCAATCAGCACTAGTCGATACTTGGAGAATACTCTAGAATCTTCTCATGTAAAAACTATAAATATACTAACGTTTTCCCTATTGTGCTTCTTACTTCCATCTAACCTTGTTATTTGGAATATAATCTCTTTCCTGTTCAACCATGTTCTGATTTGGGGACTTGTCGAGTGATTTGGTGTCCAAGAATACTAAGCAATAGGGATAGCTGGGTTATAACCGTAAGAAAAAGAGATTATAACAAGGTGAAATAAAAATTTGCGAGGAATTTAGAAACTTAGGATCTAAGGGAAGAGAAAGTGAATGGACCTGCACCACTGAGAACGATTCTGAGTCATACCATCCAGAGTCCCTAACAAGTGGTTGCGATGATCACGCGGACGTCAACTAGATAGTCTACACCTACCCATATGGATCAGTCCAACAGTCAGTGTTTTAATGGACTGGATAAACCTTAGTTTGGCTGCCCTTAACTTCTCCAACCTACTTCTACATCAACTACCATTGAACGTCGGTGAATGAGCATACATAATGCATGTCCGAACGTTTAAAAATATGACTCGGACTGTAAACTTTTTAACAGTTCATAGTTGAAGTCATGAACATCTTCCTCTTAATGAACGAAGACTGTACAAATATTGTTTTTAAAAACCAACCGTAAGCTATCTACCCTTCAGTAATAGTCAAATTTATATCCTCATGCGTAACTCATTGTTTACGAATTTCATCAAACATAAGAGAATTCCCTTGTTATTACTTATGAACTACTCAAATTTTCTAGGTAGCCGTACAATTTTAAAATATCACTTGAAAACACTCCTTTAAATAGCCTTATTTTTTATGAGTTTCTGGGAAAAAATTGACCATGCGAAGTAAATAAATTGAGTAGTGAGATTTTACAATTGTGTAGTGTAAATAATTGTATCTTAAAGTTTATAACAACACTGACTCGTTTCACCAAAGAAACCAGCATTTTTGGAAACAGATAAGCCCAGACTTTGAGACCCCATCCCGTATAAAACAACCTTGCTACAAAAACACTAACGAGAATAAACCATTTAAACTCTGTGCTCTGAGTTGAAGGATCTTCATTCAGGAGAATTATGACGCCTGGAGATGACAGCCGAGTTTCTTCGGAAGTCACGAAGCCGATGCCCCTTCGAACAATCAGAGCAACAATTTTTTATAGATACATGGAACGTCCGGACAGTGTGATAAACCGGGAGGACCAGTCAAATAGCAACGAAATGAGAAGATACAAATTGGCAGTACTCGGAATCAGCGAAACCTATTGGACCCAAGCTGAACAGAACAGGTGAGGTACGGGAGAGATGCTGCTCTACTCCGGTCACGAAGAGGAGTTGCTCTGATACTGTTCAAAGAAGTACGAAATGCACTTATAGGATGGGAATCTCATGGACCCAAAATCATCAAAGCATCCTTGAAAACAAAAAAGGAGGGAATCACAATGAATGCTATCCAATGTTATGCACCCATCAATAATAGCAATGACGACGATAACGATCAGTTCTACGAGAAGCTGCAATCGATCATAGCGAAGTGTCCAGGAAAAGAACTTGACAATTCTGATGGGAGATATAAACGCCAAAGTCGGAATGGACAGCAACGGTTAGGAAAATATCATGGGATGACACGGACTAGGAAAAAGTAAAGAAAATAGCGAGAGATTTGCAAATCTATATGTAATCAATTAAATGGTTATAGGCTGCACAATATTCCCACATAAACGCTTACATGAAGTTGCATGGGTATCAGTGGAACACACTCAAAAGAACCAGGTCGATCACATTTGTATCAATGAAGAATTTAGAGGGACAGTGGAAGACGTGAGAACCAGAAGAGGAGCCCACATAGCTTCAGATCATCACCTGGTTGTGGCCAAGACGAAACTGAAATCAAAGAAATGCTGGGCAACTGATGGAAAATCATTACAAAGGTTCAATACAGCCTCCCTACAAGATTCTAGCAAACTCAATGAATTTAAGACAGCTCTCGACAACAGGTTCCAAGCCTTACAGGATCTACTGAAAGAAACTATGATGCAGGACAACTGGAAAGAGATCGAAGAAGCATTAACTTCAGCGTGTCAGAGGGTACTGGGCTGCAAGAAGCACCATCATAAGGAATGAATCTCTATCGAAACCCTGAACAAGATTCAAAAAAGAAAAAACGAGAAGACAGCAATCAACAACAGCCGAACAGGAGCAGTGAAAATCAAGGCTCAAGCTGATTACACAGAAGCAAATAACCAAATGAAGCAGATCATTAGAGCTAGTCACTATACATCAACATACTTGACTATGAGAAAACATTTGATAGCCTAGGTAGGAGAACCTTATGGAACCTTCTTCGACACTATGGTGTACCTGAGAAGATCGTCATCATACGGAATTCATACGACGGACTACACTGCTAAGTCGTGCATGGATGACAGCTGAGAAATGTATTCCAAGTGAGGACATGAGTCAGGCAGGGCTGCTTACTCTCCCCTCTTCTTTTTCTTCTGGTGATTCACTGGATTATGAAGACCTCCACATCTGAGGGGAAGCACGGAATACAATGAACAGATTGGATGCAACTAAACGATTTGGACTTTGCAGATGACACAGCCAGTCTAGACCACACACACTAACAGATGCAGGTCAAGAAAAACAGTGTACCATAAGTCTCTACATCAGTAGGCCTCAACATACACAAGGGAAAAAGCAAACTCCTCAAATACAACACAGAGAACACCGAACCAACCACACTTGATGAAGAAACTCTAGAAGAGGTGGAAACATTCATGTATCTGTGAAGCACCATCGATTAACAAGCAGCATCTGATGCAGGTGTGAAGGCAAGCATTGACAAAGGGTGACATTTCTGCAGTTGAAAAACATGGAACCCGAGACAACTGTCAGCCAACATCAAAGATAAGATCTTCAATACGAACATCAAGACAGTTCTACTGTACGGAGATGAAACTTCGAGAACTACCACAACAATCATCAAAAAGGTACAAGTATTTATGAACAATTGTCTACGCAAGATACTCAATGTTCGTTGGTTGGATACCATCAGCAACAGTCTACTGTGGGAAAGAAGCCAGCTTTCAGCCATCTTCCGGTGTTCGGGATGGTTGGAAGAAATTTAGGGGTGGTCAAACCAAAACGTGGCATCAGTGCTTGAAGTCACTAACTTCTGGTGTGAACCATGTTGGGAGATGCAGACTACTTGGTTGGGGTCCGCGTGACTATCGTAACCAATGGTTGGAAACTCTTGGTGACATGGCTCAGAACCTATCAAAATGGCGTAGGTGTATACAGTCTCTGTTTTCCCGTAAACTAAGAGATTAAAGTCGCTTCATATCTTTCTTTCTACGTACTAATTCTTTCTTCCTGTACTATATCCTTCTATGCAATCTTTCTTTTATATATTACCACCATTGAATTAACTACTCCTGTGAATGCGGTGTTCATCTTGCTGTGCTAATACGGTATGGCAACTTGGGCCGATGCATATACGTGCTAACTGACTGATTGGATAGGACACAAATTGAAAAAATCATTAAACTCTATCACTAGGCAAGCGCTAACTTGGAATCCCGAAGGGAAACGGAAAAGAGGAAGGTCAAAGAACACCGCGCCGAGAACTGGAAGCAGACATGAACAGGATGAATAACAACTGGAAAGGATTGCCCAGGACAGAGTTGATTAGAGGATGCTGGTGAGCGGCCTATGCTCCTCCATGAGGGGAAACAGGTGTAAGTAAGTAATTATGTCCAGCAAAGACAAGTTATTTAAAAACTAATAGGAAGATTCTATTCTTTTTTCCGTGGTAACTATGTCCCATATAGTAAAAATGATAAAAATAACATTGTTAGGTCGCTACAAACAACTCAAAACAAAAATTCGGTTTTTAAATTTTATTTACGATAGACTAAACCATACTCTACGGGATATATGAAAATGTATTTCCTTAATAGGTGGGAGCAGTCAATACAAATCAAAGACACTGGGTTTACACTTATTGACTTTCATACCTATGAAAATCTAACTAGGAGTACGTGCTCGTAGGGCACAACATAATTCAGAGATCGTCCAAATCATATAATAACAAGGTAACAAGTAAATTACTACCTGAAATCCAATTAGTCCCCCATAAATAAAAACACGAGATTTCATGACGGAAGAGAAATAACCTCTATAGAAAAAATAGATTGCTGGAAAAACAAAAGCAGCACCGATCGTCCGACCCCACATTCGGTGAATAAATTCCATATACCATATAAATTTGAATTGAGTGATCGACATTTCACCACGCTCCTTTACATAACTGAACAGGACGTAGGTAAAGAAATCTAAACTTGCTGTTCATGTTCTGGAAACTTCTTGTATTTTTCGAATTCTAGTCGCCAATGTTCTTCACTGAAAGGAGGTACCTCCTTAAACGGATGCCAGTCAACCATTGAGAGTCCAGACTCGGTCAATCTTAAGTAAATAGTTTACGAATAGAAATAATAAGTACCTTGTAACTCCACCAAGCAAAATAGCACCAAAAGTCATGCCAGAAAGACCCAAGAGCCATCGACCAACAACTGATGCGGCCTGAGTTGTTGTCTGACTGACTGGGACGGATACTGCTGCTGATTTGGATGAGGCAAGCAGGTACCTTTGAAAATACACATGAAATCCAACAGGTCGAAGAGTTCTTACTGCCGCAGATCCTAAGCATGAGCCGAAAACCATTCCCCAGTTTTTACAATGTAATCTATAATTTTGCAAAATGAAATATGATTGGAGGTTATCGAAGTCCGATTTTGCCAGAATTTAAATAGCGACTTGAAATGCAAATGTGAACCCAAGTGTGGGGTATTCATCTACCATTAATGAAACATGAATACATAATATTAGGTAAATGATAGAAGTGGAGTTGTTCTCTAATGAATTAAACGCTAGTTCCAACTGACAGGTCACATATTCAGTAAACCCGTTTTTTTCAAACTCAACATGTAGAAACAAAGAGGTATCCATAGTCTTCCGGAACCAATACTAAGAATCTCAAAATAAAAGTGGTTCGACATACACTGGTGGATAGTTTGATTACCTAAACGGCCGCAGGTCCGAAACCTTGTCGGCTGACCTACTTTACATGCTCAATGCTCTTGGAAGGTCTAACGTCAACATTGCGCATGAGGTTACCCAATTACGTCCCGACCGTTGCTGCTACATTGACGTGGTGGTCGGGCTTGCCTATCGCAATTAACCAACCGGGCTATACTGGCTAGAACAACCATTTCTCAAGGTTCTACCATGCCAATTAGATTGGTTGAAGAACGGTAAGGCTAAAAGTGAAGTCGCACTGTTGACTGTACAGAGATGTGACAGTAAGGTGTTTCCTTCAGACAACCAGCATAACAGCGATGATGCCTTCCTGCAAAGGAAGGGTGAGGTTAGAAAATGTCGACCCTAAAAATGCACACCTCGCCTTATGCCACGGATATTTGTCTCCGACGGTAAGGTTTCAACAAGTACGGAACGGACACAAAATTTACCCACAAAAAGGGCGGGTGTGACCGGCCTCAAGCAGTTGTCCCTTGGGCACTTCAGTCATTTAGACCAATCCTAATCCAATTTCCTTTTCAGATACCTTTAGAAGAACCCTTCCACGGTGTGGGCAACGGGGAAGTGATAACCACCTCACATACCTCCAACAGTACTCAAGATCACTGCATTTATAATCAATCTCCCTCTTCAATTCCTATTATTCCTCCTGTCTAGACTATCAGCTCTATACTTCCTCTTCAAGTGTCACCATGGCCAACGATTATAGTGCGAGAAGTACTGTCCCAGGTCTACTGGAAACTCGCTCCAAACCCTCAACGTACACACTCTATGTCAAATCGGCCAACAGACCTCCTTGGCTCAACCCCCAAACGCTCTGACACGACCGAGGGTGGAGAGAGTTAGCTCACCCTCTCGAAATGCTCTCAACATGGCTACGCGTATACAGCCACTGATAAGGAAGTCCTACTCACTGCCTTCTCGCAGTAGGGGTGTTGTTTACGAAATTGGGAGGAAAAGCGAATGTCCGGTGCCTTAACCGGGTTGATGGATATGGAGAATCCACCTATGGAAATTAGAAAACGCTGATTCCAAACCAATGATAACTGCTACTGGCTTCATTATTACTGTGTGGAGCATTGTATTTGGTGTCCCCTTGTACCAATGTTTATGTGTTCAAATAAATAAATAAATCTAGCCAAAAAGAGGAGCCGACGAGATACACCCACCGTGTATATGGAGACCCGATGGCTAGCTATTGTGGACTGGCAGGTGTACGCATAGCACTAAGTACGACGGCAGAACAAGCACCAATAGAGTGGATCCCCAATAACAGTCGTTTATGTACTGTTCAGCTAAACGGCTCCGTAAGAACTCGAAAGGATATGGACACACGTCGTTGCCTTTTCGTCGCTTCTGCCTATGCTCCCACTGAATGCAACCTGGATGAAGTGAAAGATGACTTTTACAGGACTTCTTCAAAAAGCTAAACACTCAAACATAGTGCTCGTAGCAGGTGAATTTAATGCCCAGCTAGGTAGTTTAAACCCAACAGATAGATATTTCAGTGGGTATTTTGGTATTCTGGCTCAGTGAACATATAACGGTGACCGTCTGCTGCGAATGTGTTCAGACAATTGTTTAGTTTTAGCAAGTACTAATTTTAAGCATAACGAGAGACATCGTCTAACTTGGAGACCTCTTGCACCAAACCAACGATTGACTCAAATAGATCATATTGCCATCAGTCATCGTTTTAGAGGCCTGACAAAAGATTGTCGCTCATTCTGGAATACCTAATTGGACTCCGACCATGCTCTAATACGGGCATGCATCTGCTTGCACCTCACTGGACGCAGAAAAGCCACACTAAAAAGACTCATTAGAATTGAATTGAGTGACGAGAAAAACAAAAGTAGGTTCCAGAAACAACTGAGGTCACACCTAGATAGTTCTGAAAATGAGGCTGAACCAGATGTTGCTTGGAAAGACATACAAACAGCTGTGGAAACAGCAGCGACATCTATTGGTGAATTGAACCAAAGGGTCACGAACAACCAGTGGATCTCTGCTACATCTATTGCATAGAGAGACTTTCGTAAACTCGTCCCATCAGGCTCCGAACACGCTGAAGGGCGAAAACAAATCAGATCTAGGTTAACCAAATATCTAGGGAACGACCGCGAGCTGTGGTGGGCAACGAAAGAGATAGAAAAGGCAGCAGCTGTAGGTAACACAAGACAGCTTTTCAGACTAATAAAAGAAACTGGAATTAAGAAGTCAAGTGTAAGTGAGACGATCTCGCAAAAAGACGACACTTATCTACTCACAGCCCAGACGTGTAGAAGGACAGGCGGAACACTTTAAGAAGCAGTCCAGTCAGCCTTCAGGTACTCTGCAATTACTTATCATTTCCAAACAACCATTCAGACAGGTCCCCGACTCGGATTAAAGTTCAAAAAGCTATAGCTAATCTGAAACAAGGAAGAACAGTTGGTCCAGATGGAGACTCCAGATGTCTTTAAAGATGGTGATTTAGTTTTAGCGATTAGGTCGACTAATATTTTAGCTAAAATCTAGGAGTTGGACGTTATCTTATCTGACTGGTCGCAATCGATGATTGTCGAAATATAAGGGAAGGGGTCAAAATCATCCTGTGACAATCATAGAGGGATTAGTTTGACTAACATAGCATCTAAAATACTAGCCTCAACAAAGACTTGTGAACTGCAAACATAAGAAAGTCAGGCTCGCTTTAGACCTGGTCGTGGCCGTATCGACCACATATTCACCATTTATCAGGTTTTAGAACGCAGGCATACTTATCGGTGTCCGATAATGGTGGTCCTTGTTGACTTGACTCTGAAGACCGAGAGGTTCTGTGGCAGTGCCTGTCATTGAAGGGTGTACTTCAGAAGTACATAAACCTTGTGAAGGCTCTTTATTCGGGCATTACCAGTCGAGTCAGGGCTTATGACGAATTGTCATCTACTTTTGCAACCTCAAGTGGTTTGGGCCTAGGTTGTCCACTTTCTCCATTTTTGTTTAACTTCATCATAAAACTACTGATGGAAATAACGCTCTCATCAACTGAATTTTTGGGCATTGATTTCCTATCAGGATGACTATTCACCGACCTAGAATACGCAAATGACATAGTCCTGTTTGGTGAAGACGCTGATAAAATGCAGTCTTTTGGTAGTACTGAGTAACAATGCTAGGGTGTTCGGGATGTGCTTCTCCCCCTCTGAATGCAAGCTGTTGCTTCAGGACTGGTCTGCGTCAACACCTGACTTAAGGATAGGGAGTGAAGTAGTTGGACGCGTCGACAACTTCACTTATCTTGGTTTCTGATCAGCCCTAATGGGTCGGTGTCTGACGAAGTCTCAGCACGGATTCGAAGGGCTCGTTTGGCTTTTGCCGACTTATGTCACCTATGGTGAAGGCGAGATATCCGTCTATCAATAAAAGGACGAGTCTACTGAGTAGCAACTCGTTGTTTTACTTTACGCGTTAATCACTTGTATTTGACCACAGATGTTTTCGAAATATTGCTCGCATTTTCTGGGATCATCGGGTAAGTAATAGTGCGGCTAGACACAGGGTGTTATGGAATGGTGGTAAATCAGTTGATGATTGTAAATCCTCATGACCCGAGATGGTTGGGCCACGTATTTCGCATGCCTAACCACCGATTACCATGGCGTGCAATGCTGGCTAGTGCTGGGAACGGATGGAAGAAATTCAGGGGTCACCAAACCAAAATGTGGCATCCATACTTCAAGTCACTAACTTCTGGTCAGAGCCATGTTGGTAAATGCAAACCACTTGGTTGGGTCCGCGCGAATATCGTAATCAGCGATTGGAGATTCAGTGAGACATGGCTCAGAATCGGTAACAATGGAGTAAGTGTATACACTCTTTGTCTTCCCTTAAACCGTGAAGTTAGGATTACTTCATATCTTTCTTCATACGAACTAATTATTTCTCCCTGTATCAACTTGAACTGATGCATATATATGCCTGGTTTTACGTTGTAGCTGACTGATTGACTACTTAGTTGCATGACAGTGATACTTTGAAGTCACGCATGGTTGCATCAGTAATTTGCAATGGCCACATGAGAACACATTTCAATATGTCTAGTCTTTAGCAAGATAATGTTGTTATACAAGCAAGTGTACTGTAACATTTACATATAAAACCCACAGTGAGACTATAATTTATGGACGACCTTTGAGTGATGCTAAACTGACCTTGAGAGTCTTCACCTAATAACTAGGGCCAAATGAGAGTTATCAGCCAGTGTGAGGAATTAGAATTATGATTTACAGTTGATGGTTAGAGTTAGGAATTACATTTAGGGTTTTTATCACGAACTGACATCAGCTATAAAGCCAAAACTCTATTTAGCCAAATAGATGGGTGAATTTCGCGCTGAAATCCGAGACCTGTCATCTTATACCTGGTCGGTTCGTCCATAAATTATAGTCTCGCTACCCTGATGAGTGTAGGTGTTAAAACATGATTGTATGGTGGCATAACGAATGGAGATCACGTTTTTTAAAGTTTATGCCATGACCTATGTTTTAGCTAGAAGCGACATTTATATAATCAAAATAATCGTTTAGACATTTTCGCAAAAATAAAATTTACTACCTCAGGCTTTGTGCTTGGGAAACTCG